GAACAAATATGTGTGGGGGGGGGGGGGGGGGGTCACTGGATTGGACTGTATTTTGATATTTAATTAAAACTGCTCCATGTGATTCCAGTACAATTATAGGAGGCCTATTTATACAAGATGGCAAAGTAATTTATCTCATTTTAACTAATTTTATGTGATTCTGAAAATGACTGACTAGTAGAGATGTGATGTCAAAGTTTAGCGTAAACAATGATGAAAAGAACAGAATGTTAAAAAGAAGGGCAAAAGTAAGCAAAAATAAAAAGAAACTGCCCCAATGAAAGTCCCTTCTCCATGATACATTTGCTAAAAATAATAAGCCGCTGAAAAACATTAAATGTTAAATAAAAAAATCAAACTAAAAGTTAAATTCTATCTTAAAAATAAATTTTCTTGAATGTTATCTTTGGTAATAATTGGCAGCTTTATAGATAGGTGATGCATTTAAAACTGATATATATTACAGAACCAACTTTAAAAGTGTAGTTTTGCCATTTATGAATAGAATCTCTCAGACGGTTGCCAGACCTTGTCTTCCATTAAATGTCTGATAAGTGGCACGATCAGAATGTAAGATGTTTGTGATGGCTTCTTCTTCTTTCTTTCTCTTTCTAGACGAGCTTTCCAAGAATTCTACCAGGAACACGTGGAGTTCAGTTGCCCCACAGAAGATATTTACTTGGAGTAACCAAGGGGTTGTAGATATTAAGGGTGGGATTCTTGGGGTATAAATATATATACAAGTCTCAATGTCATCATCACCCAGCCAGGACAGCAGAGGCAATGAGCCTGCATGAACCCTGACATCCCCCAGCCACACAATCTTTAATAAGAACTATATCATTTCATTGGTACAGGACATCTCACATTAACCCCTTTCCTACAGCAAACTGCAGAGAATCTCCTGTACCCCTTCTATTTCTTCTCACTTTACCCACTCACCTGCTGTAAAATTGCTAGCACTTTGCATTAACTCCTGACCAATTTTGCAGTGCCTCTCAGATTAATCCTTTTCTTGCTTTAGACAGTAGAGCATGTTGGGTTAACAATTTCCCTAAATGATAATTTAGAGCTTCTAAACTGAACAGCTCATATATTAGAGACTGGGAAGAATTGAGGTAATCCTTTCAGGCTCCGAACCAGCAGAGCACCTGAAATGACCCACATTCCTTGCCGCACACTTCACTTTATCTAATGCCTCGCTGCAGACCAGCAGAGAGTTTGATGTTAGCTTCCTTTCTAGAGCACACCTTGAGAGCATGTATATGAACCTCTACAGAGCTTCTTTAGCAGTCACCCTGGCAGTTTCTCTGGTAATGTGCAGGTGTGCCTTTTTTTAAACATAAAATATTGGACAAAACTGCAGCTCATTACTCTAAAAGCCCTCCTACATTTTCTGGTACGTGGATAATTGTTTTGCTTTTGGCAGTAAGCTGAGGCTCAACACTTTATCTATTCTATGGGTCTCCCTTTTACCATAAAAGCAAGTACATCATAGTCATTTCTGCTTCCCATAGCTAAAATCTGTTTCGTAAACTGTAAATTGGATCTCATTGTTGTGTGGTCAACTATCATCCCCAGTACCCAGTGGTCGCTTTATAATCTGGAGGACAGAAGCAGCTCTCTTTGATGACAGAAGTAAGGAGTAGAAGAATATTCATAAATTACTAATTTCTTGCTCATGTTTGTCAAACTTAGTACTGTTGCTGAGAGTAACAGCGTCCGCCATTACAGTGTATTCTGTACTGTTACAAATGTGTGTAATAGCTGGTGTATTTGATGAGAAAAGCATTATTTTAGTTGTCACTTGAGATGAGACATAGTGAGTTTCTTTGGAGGAGTTCAGCTTCCGTTAGTTATGATCAGCATATCATTTGATAACTGTCCCTCTCACATGCTAGTAATCAGCAGCTTTCTGCTTTGTTCCTCCCATTCGTGCGCTAGCACCTGCCTGTCATACCCTACTGTTGTTCTGACACTGACCTTTCTATGCCAAACCTGCAGTGAAGGGGTTAATGGCATGAAGATTCAGACTGTACAGCATGAAGATAATGTAGACACTAGGTGCATAGAGACTATACCCTCACTATATCAACAGGTGTCGCTCGAGTCGAGTGGCTCCTAAAGTCATAACATGAATATCATGGAAAAACATTCATGGAATTGGTTTGTTGATAAGGGAGAGTTAACATTTTCTTTATGTTAAAAAAAATCATTAACTTGCTGAGGTTTTTGTGTAGGCTGAAAAAACATTTTATCTGACGAGGTAAAGTCCTAGGTTAAGCGTTTGCATAGACAGTCCCCATCTGCAGTGTCAGCTCATCTAATATTTACAGAGCAGAACAAACATATCTACATGGCATCAAATGAAGAGGACCTCACTTACTGAAAGTGTCCAAAAGAAAAACTGTCAGTGTTATGCACAGTCACCGATACCATCCAGTCTTTGAGAGTCTCTTAACAAAGAGGTTGGGGACTAAATCAAGTTTTAAAGGCTGGCACACTACAAAAAATGGCTTTTTGAAAGTAGAGAGGAACATTTAGGGGAAAACCTATAAAGAAAAGCGGCAAAATAAAATCAAACTGGTGAGAGGCTTGTATTACAAGTAATAATGTATACCACTGTACCACAAGTGCCGAACAAATGAATGGAAATAGTAAACTTGATTATCAAACGAGCTTTAGGTCAATTCTGGAAGGGAAAATAACAATGAGAAGAAAAACAGAAGCTAACAATTTTAAATCTTTATAAACAGGACAGTGGGTATTGGAAAGCTGTGATAGGTGGCTGTAGGCAACACAGTTAGCTTTTTTTTTTAAAATGAGGTCCATAATATTCTTGTGAGGAAATTCTGAGGATCTGCACTGTCTAGAACCCAAAGATTGACTTAGTCAGCTGCAGAAGGGAAAGTCATGACATTCAATCGCACTTGATAATCGGATGTATCTTTTTCATGTCATGGCTCATTTACTTTCCTTTCAGCATTCAATAAAAAATGAGCTGCATTACTGGTGTTTAATGTTTATGTGAGTGAGTGGTACAAGATGCGCATTACATAGAATCTCTTGGACATAAATATGCATGATATTTACATACAGTACATGACAGTCAAACTCCAGGAAAACCTCTAATCAGCATTTGAGTGTATGCTTGGCTCTCTAAAAAGGTAAAGAATATTACACATAACATGTCTGCAAAGTGCTACTTACCATAAAGGGGCATGATAGTAACCAATTGGACATTATCTTTTAAGGTTTGAAAGAGGTAATGTTCCAAAAGTATTTCCTGGTTTCCTTAACATGTTTCCATCCAAAGCTACTAAATTTGTCACTTGCTGCAAAACCAACATACTGCTTGAATGAAAGAGCATATGGGATCTGTGTCACAGCAAGACAGCTAGAGGGAGATGTAATGCTGCAAAGCACCAGTACATTTGCTGATTTGTGCACTGGGTGGATGCCAGGACCACAGGGCAAACAGACCATTAAAGTTACCAAAGGTTCTAATAGTGGGCCCCAAGCCTAAGTGGCTGCTGCAACATCTTGAGCATAAGTTAACTGTTAGTTTTTCCTGCATACATACATATTCCAAAACTGCATTTTATTTAGTCACATTTGGGTGTATGCAAGAATCTGAAAATGTGATCTTTCGTTATTACATTTTTGCAGCTTTAACTATGAAAGTTTTATATTTATCCCTTTGGCTTTATTAAGGTTGAATTAGGATGACCCCTTCAGTTAAGGGTCAGAGGTGAGAGACCCCTGAGGTCTGACAGTTGATGAGCTGCCAAATCCCTGAACTCATGCTGATGAGTTATAATGTCCATCACTTCCTAAGTAACAATAGCAGCATCAAACAGAGAATCATTTAGCCATTTGCATCCCTTTTAACTATAAGACTTTGTTAAGTGGCTTTCAAGAGACCGAATGTCTTATCAGAATATCAGCATAACATAAAGCAAGCGGCAGAGCAAAAATTGTTAGACTTCAGGTGTCCTCACACCTCTAACTACCAGAGTAAGGAAAATGTAATACTAGGTCCCTTTTGGTCTTGTAAATATACTATTGAAAGTGTTTTGTTATCTCTGATAACTTAAAAAACACCCTGTTGATCCTTCCTGAAATCTTGTGAACTGTTACCTTCCTCTACTCTCTGCCCGTGCTGACTGTTACCAATTACATAAACTAACTCTGAGGACGACAGAACCACAACCTCAGCATTAATGTAGAATAGCTGAGGGGCAGGGTTCAATAGTCTTTTCTTGTTTCTATTGTCCAGATATATTACGTGAATGAGTGTTGTCATGCTTGAGTAGGAAGTGTGTTACTGGCAGAATCAACAAGTGAAATGAAAAGAAAAGAAGCTTGATAAAAGAAAAGGAATGCAGCCACCACATCTAAGGACTGTTAAGCTGCAATATACTACATTTTTCTGGGGTGGTTTAGATACACTTTAAACATTTTATGTAAAATAAATGCTAGTAGAATCTATGGATGGATGGAGCCCACAGAGGAACTGATGGTGTTGTAAAAAGTACATACAGTGCTTCCTATAAATGTGCTATTAGCAATCAGAAGGATGACAATATCGTCTGTAAGTATTTATAAATTTTAGTGTCAGTGACAAAGGCACTAGAAGAAGAATGGTGATTTCAGCATTGGACTGGATGTAAGGACAACACGCACACTTAGTCGAGTAAGTCAGTGATTGGGTGGAATGTGTCAGAAGGGGCGGACCTTGGGTGGGACACCAGTAATATTGGACTGGATATGTCTGAAATTCACAAGTGGACAGCAGGGCAATATGCCCATTTTCCAAACCCATATTGGGTCCTGCTGCCTACTGATTATTGCAGCTAGACTTTGCTTTGTTTCTCTGAGCAATACATACCCCAGGACCTTGCTTACAAGAGCAAGAAAATGAGAAGCTTCGCTTCTGTATCTCAAGCAAAACCATCTCCATCTTTGGATGTCCCTGCATATAAACTGGTTGTTCCATGATGTTTCCAACACGGCTTTTCTGCCTATAGTAGTAACAATTTTGTGAAAATGCAGGGGTGGGGTGTGTGGGGTGCAATAGTTGTTGCCGAGTCCCTTTTTTTTCCATAATGTGACATGTAGATTCTACACTGAATCCTGAAGAATGTTAACCCCTTCGCCAGAACTAAGCCAGTGAGATGTTAAGGTCAATCACTATATGCACAACTCAGAACACTTTTTTACCATTTTAATTACAGTAAGTGTTATAAACTCAGTCGGGTTCCCAAATCCGAAGCTTTTCATCTCTACTAGGAAGTGATTGGAAATGGTCATAACAAGGATGCAAACAGTAAAAATCTAATATAGGTATTACCCATTCTTACTCCCTATACAAAACATGTTTTTCAAATAATTATTTATAATTTTTTTCCAAGTTACATTTAGTATTGCCAACTGTGGACAAGATAATGTATGATAATAAACGTTATTAGGGATGTTAATTCAGCAAGGAGCAGACATGGTCTAAGGAGTTTCATTGCGTTGTGAAGGTTCAATCATGAAGCCATGAAAGATATCTTCTGACTTTCTGTCCCAGAGATTTTACAGGTAGTTAGGGAAAATATATTTACTGGGAAGACAACAAGCAATAAAAACCAACCAAGACCCCAAGCCTTCTCCATTAGTATATTATACACAACCTCACAAAGTTTAATTTTGGATACAAACCAGATAAAAATGACTTGACAAAATATAACATACTAAAAACTAGGGATGCACCGATACCACTTTTTTGGGTCTGAGTACGAGTACCGATACTTTTTTTTTAGTACTCTCCGATACCAATTACCGATGCTTTTTCTTAAAGGGGCAGATATAACTTTTTTTTATGCCATCCTGTGCCCAGCCCACACCTGTAGTGTGGCACAGTTATATCTAATTCTGCATACCTGGCTGTATATTATACATTAAAAAATGTAATATACAGCCAGGTATGCAGAAATAAATATAACTGTTCCACACTATATGTATGCATTATGCACTACAGTGTTCGGGCCTTGACATGTGCTCAGCCTCATCCATGATTTGCCTCATCCAAATAGAATAGCAAGCAGTAGTGCATTTTTTTAAAATTTATAAACCTACAGCAGACAAATATGACTTTTGAGGCCATCCTGTGCCCACCCCCCCATCCTGTGCCCAGCCCCAGCAGTGCTGCTAACCTTCTTCTCCGTCGTCTCCGTCTGCTTCATCCCCTCGTGTCACAGCCTAGTCATCTGTCAATGCCGGCCTCTTCTCACGCTGATTGGCCGATTGGATGATTGACAGGCTTCCCCACCAATCACGAGTGAGGACAGAGGAATTGAAGGCGGAGTCTGGTTTCGGCCGTTCGCCCGTCGAGAAGGAGTTCGCGGCCATCTTGCATGAATGCAGACGCGGTCCTGTGTGCTGTGTGCGGCGGTGGAAGATGGCGGACACAGGTACTCGTTTTAGACATCCGAGCATTTGCACGAGTACGAGTACCCATGCAAATACTCGGTATCGCGGCCGATACCGATGCTTGTATCGGTATCGGTGCATCCCTACTAAAAATGGTATATTGTACAGGCATCTGACACAACTAAATGTGTTCATATAAATAGGAAGTAAAAAATAGTGAAAGTTTGCCTTGAACTTCATATGACACTGAACAGTCCAGAAAGACTGTGCTTTAAATTATGAACATTGTGGTAATATTTTTGATTGAAATTGTTCAATTAAATAAACACTATCCTTAACCTACAGTAAATTAAGTAAGAATGGTGAGAATAAGAAAAGGGGGCGGTTAGGTGCTCTGGAAGGTTAGAAGCAGGGAGCTAAAGAATATCCAAGGAGTTACTGACTTGAATATAAACGTCTGAGCAGAACATGTCATTCAATAAGAAATGAACTGACAATAGAGAACTCAGACATAGATGGGGCACTTGGAGTAGATCCTGAAACTTCCTGCAACATGTTACTACTATCAACTTCTGAACAAACACCAGATAGGAAGGAGGACTATGTTTTGTAATAACCTCTGTCCACCATTATTTCCTAATAGAAGCCCTAATGAAGCCTCAGGGCTTCATTGGTGTGACTGCCAAAATTAAACAAATTTGAAATCACAATTAACATAATTTGCACCCCAAAAAAAGGCAGTTCCAAGCATGTTGCCAACTAAAATGTTTCTGCGGTTTTTTTTTTCAGAGC